TAGGAGAACAGAGAGAGAATGAAGCAGAATGATGAAATGGGGGTCCCTATGTGCTCCAAAAGTCTAAGCCTATAGCAGCATAACTATAGAGATAGCTCAGCATATGCTTGAAGTGATTTGCCATCCTCTGACTTTATTGTATGCCAAGCCAAAACTTTTTCAATATAAGCATTAGCAAGCTTATACCATATCCAAAGTGTTCTTTTAGAAGTCGTTAGGCCATACTGTATCCATTTCAGGAGCCATATGCTGGCAGCTACGGACCAATTCCCTTGGCTGTCCTCTGGTAAATTGCTCCATATAATAAATACAGTCTGCTTTATTGGCCTTCCCTTCAATGTTTTGTTCAAATGCTTTTATAAAAATGTGATACTGAAATGGATCTCTATCAAAAACAGGAATGTCCCGTGGTGGAAGAGTCAAAAAACCTTGTTGATGCACAACTGCTTACATAATCCTATTCTGTTTCTCCATGGTGGTGAACATGTTACCTGATAAAGCTTGATCATTTGTTTGATCTTGAGTTACTGCAGTCTGTTTCCTTTCTTGAGCTGTATTTAATGGTTCCACTGACAAACAATATGCATCTTGGTTGTCTTGCCTGTATTGTAGTTTGTAGTCCTTTTCTTTAGGGTTTAGTGAGGGATTGATTTCTTTCCCCTTTCCAAATAAGAGTTCATGCCATTGGATTTTGCAGTTGAACGTCGATCCTCAATAGTTTAGCTGTGGCTGTAGCAAGCTCAGTTTCCATTTGAAGTTGCTCTTTATTCCTTTTTAGCAACAGCTCTTGGTCCTCCAATGCATGATGCTCCTTCAAAGCTGCCATATGAACTTAAAGAGCTGCCTTTTCTACGGCAGCTTTTATTCTTGCAGAGGGAGTACTTGATCTGGTCACACTGTTTTTACTTTTGCCCACATTGGAAATACTATCATTAGGATATATGTTATCAGGACAATCTTTTGTTTCATCAACCCCTTTTTCAACATTATGCCCTTGTTTTTGTATCACCCAAAGATTACTGTAGCATAATTGACAAAATCTGTATTAAAAATAATTTTTGCTTTAAACCAGGTTTCATGTTTTTCCTTTTCCTCTTGTGGCAATAAACCCATGATAGAATTGTGAACACCATATATTTCATCACACAACTCAGACATAACATTCAAAGTACTTTTCACTTCACAAACATTTCCCATTTCCATTAAACCTTTCATAGTTTCTCTTAACTTAATAGCCTTATTCAGTTTGACCTTTCTAATATTCTACAATTTTTCAATCTTCTCAGCCAAGGCCTTGGCAGTAAGTTTAACCACCCGTTTACCCAAATGGGTTTCAGTCTCAAGGCTACCAGCCTCTTGTTCTTTAAGAACATCTTCTTTTAAAGTTAAGTCAGTGTTTTTATTTGCATCAGAGTTTTCCATGGCTGAGCTGGATTTTAATGTCAGCCAAAAAAAAATCGTTTGTTTGTGAAGTTACTTATCTCTTTTTTTATTTTATTTAATTATTTATTTATTTTAATTCAAATGGCAACCAGTGCACTGGAATTACGCATTGCTACTTTAAATAGCCATGGCCTGAGTGTAGCGCTACACGTACCTATACGTGGAAAACCCACGTTTGTGTCACACCTGCGAAACCAAGCCACTGAAGCTCCTCAGGTTCCTTTACACTGTGATCATCCTGCTCGCTCTTCCACTGGTGGATGACAAACCCACGCTCACTGATAGCATCGCTCCTATTGCCCGCACAACCACTCCAATCAGTCGATCAGCATGCCGGTCATCCTCTACGCGCTGCTGCCTCCGCTGCGCCATCGCTCCTCTCCTCCCAAGCCGCCATCTTCCCGCAACACAGGTGCCGACAGGTGACAGCCAGCCACACCAGCATAATTAGGAAGGAATCATGTGGTCCAATAATACGAGACACTTGACCTATGTCTCGATGTCCTTTCCACAAGCTTAACTTGGGACTGTGGTTTGATTTTATTTGTAGGGGCTAAGCCCATGCTTAAAGCCACTGGAGTGTTTTTAAACCGGAATCTTGACGCGCTTTGCCAGGATAAGATGGTGTAAACAGGAAATGTCCAGACTATGTTTTGCTGTTTAAAGGCTGATTTATTCCCACTCTTGCTGCTTATAAAACAAAAAAGATATACAACAGCCAGCTGTGAGTTGATAGCGTTTCCCCGCCAAGCGGTCAAACCGATTTGCCCTTTCCGGTGAAACACACGCTCATACACACATCATTTCCCTTCTTTTATAGAGCTTAAACTTAATGGCTTCTACAGACTACAGACACTTTATAACTTTGAGGCTAAAAAATTTAAATAAATGAATAATTAGAATTTAAACAGTCAAAAATGTATTTTTTATTCATTTTAACCTTGGGAAAGCCACACTAAAATGATGCTGAGGAGATCTATACATTATTAAACGTTCTTATCTAACAAAAAATCTGAAAGAAAAGAAGGTACAATTTGGAGCACTCAGGTCCTCAAATATAATTATAAATATATGCTTGGATATTTGGCAGATCAACAGGATTTTACTTATATATCAGACAGTTTCATTAACCACTTCGTAAACATGAGGACGGCAACTGTGTCTCTGCAGCGGGAACATTGGAAACCGGCGTCCAAAAGGATCTGACTGAGGAGAAACGCTATGAGAAGCTGACTGTGGAGAAAGGACACTATGAGAAGCAGACTGTGAAGAAAGGGCACTATGAGAAGCAGACTGTGGAGAAAGGACACTATGATAATCTGACTGGGGAGAAGGGCTCTGGCTTGGGGGCTGGCCCGCTAAAGGGCTCTGGCTCAGTGACAGCTGGCTGGCAGGGAGCTCTCCAAAAAAAAATTGGGACTCCTTGAGACAAGGAGCTCTTCTCTGGGGGTGTGGAGTTAGGAACTTGAGCTTGGGGCTTGAGAGTTTTTTGTTTTTTTTTAAACAGTGTCCTGTCTGACAATGTGGCAATAAGAATATATGTCTTGATGCCAAGAAGAGCCCAACAGATTGTATTGTCACAATTGGAGGAGTACGGCTATTGTCATAGTGTTCCACTTGTTTTATGCATATAAATAGCTTTATTATAATTATACAGGCAGTATTATAGATTATATGGACGCTGCAATGTAAGCAGAACAGAAGATGAAAAGCAGGGGGGAAAAAGGATAAAAGAAAGAGGAGATAAAAGGGAGATAATGATAAAATATTTTCAGTCTGCTTCATCACGTGCAAAGAGATGTAAAAAGAACAGCACAAACAACGGACATGGTACAAGACATAAATTAGAGTAACGCCTAGATACTATCGCTGAAGTATAAGTGTTATTATTTAATCTGACATTTACTCTGTGGTACCTGAAGATCAGAATATGGGCTTTCTGTGTGGAAGTGAATCTCTACCTGGAACCAAGCACCTGTAGTTGTTTGTGAGAGTGCACTTGTGCATGTAAAGTTTATCCAAAGAAAAAATGCTCAATAGTGGTTGTGAAGAGCTGAAGAGGCAATCTTATGGTAAATTCCCGGATACCAGCCTTTTTTTTTCTCCAGTGATTGTTAAGAGTCTAAAGAACCACTTGTGGCTACCATAGATGTCCAACATACCAGCATTACGACAGACTTGGATGTAGAACTATTATTGTGACATTGCAACCCCAGCAATCTTCAGAGCACCAGTGTGCCTGCATGTGTTTCTAACCATCTTTATATGGGCGTATTGTGTGTGTGCTTACCTTTTGTGTCCTGGTCCACCTCCTTATATTTTAGATTTATTTTCTAAATCATCTATTAACATACCATTCTTCTTGGTGCACACTGGGCTTTGGTTGCTTTCAAAACAAAATCTTGTCAACCGTGGAGTGCTTACTGACGTTACACTCAAATCATGTTAGATGACAATACTTCCTACTTTTTTTGGCAAAACATTTGCCAGTCTCTGTCCTCACTATTGATAGGTTTCTTTTTAAACATAAACTTAAAGACTTTTTATTGAGAGGTCAGACATGTGAACATTAATAATCTAACTGAACTGATCTTGTTTCTGTAATGTTTTAGTGTGTAATTTGTTCTGTTGTTTCTAGTGTACAGTCACTGTGTTTTATGTAAAAGCCTAACTGTGGACAGGCATTGAGAATTAGCCTTAGCTAAAATGTTGTAGTGTGTGACATGATTCATGAAACATACTTGTCCCTATCAAATAAACGAATAGGATAAAATAAAAAATAAATAAAATATGTTGACAAAGCCAACTGTGATGAATTCTTTTAATTCGAGGTTAAACAAATAACTTTGTGAAGGTTTTGGTTTTATTGGAAGTCTTTTCTATCAGAAAATGACGCAGCTACCATACCAGCAGCACTGGCTAGCTGTCATATTCTGTTTTAGTAAACAAGTCAGAATCAGCCACTCCCTGGATCTTATTTACCTATCTGGTATTCTTATCTTCACCTAAATTTGTACATTTATGTTTTAAAAATTACTGTAGAGAATCGTTTTTAAAAAGTCCTCATAAGAAAGATTCCAAGCCTATTTACAATTTACAAAAATTCAAATAATCAATTGACTCAAAAATGAAATATCCACACTTCATTTAAAAGTTTATGTGCTTCTTTTATTATACTTTTAGCAAGGAATGAAAAATAGTAAAATTTAAAACATTCATAAAAAAATATTTAAATCAAGATCCTAACCATTCATAATGCTGAGAGTGAGGAAGTCTAGGAAAGGCGTTTATGGTTTTGGTGAAGCAGACATATTGTTAATTCCACAGACAGAAAGTTCTGGCAGATTACTTCAGGTCCTTTGGGTGCAGGGTTCATAAGTTGATGAATTTGCTCATTTGAGTGCTTACAACCAGGTTTGATGGGTCACCAGGCAATCTCTCTGTTTGGCAGCTTAAGACCATGATCCATTTTACTCAATAGGATGGAAGCACCAGACATATGAGATTGAAAACTCTGGAACAATCTAGTGCCCCCCATTGAATTCAATTTGGTCTTCTTTTTTTTTTTTTTTTGCAGAAATCTGGTTGAACTCTTGGCTAGTCCCCTGAAGTGCTGAGGAGCCTTATCTTTGTCCATGGATTTTCTTAGGCCTGTGTCTTCTCAAGTCCTCTCTTAGGTATGCTCCAAAGTTCACATCTGTCAAACCAACTGAAAACACTTCTCTTTTCTTTCCCCCTGTATATACTTTTCAGATTCATGAGCATATATTGCTTGAAGGTTTACCCACATGAGCAGAACTTCTGCACCCTGTATTTCTACCCGCAGAGTTTCTATCCTTATCCTTTGATATACAAATTTCCAGTTTGAGAAACACCAGATATAGTTAGCCTCTCTTGTCTCCTAAAATCCCCCAGCCCAGCCTTACCCTCTCGTTCTTCTCTCCTAGTCATCTGGCCGTAGGATGTTGAACTAAGTACATTCAAAGCTCACTCAATACATCCATAACCATGTTACAGATACATAAAATATTATTAAATTTCATTGCCTTGTTACTCTTTAAAGCTTTTAATTACAGTCAAAATAGAATCACTTAATTTATTGCGAGTTGTCTATGTAAAGCGCCTTGAGATGACTTGTGTTGTGAATTGGTGCTATATAAATAAACTGAATTTATTTTAATATTAATTGAATAAATACAATTTGGAGCACTTTCCCACATGAAATGGATAAGAGGGTAGAGATTAATCTGCATAGTGTATTTAAAGTATAAATTATATTTTAACCTGAAACATGGAAAGATCTATGCTCCAACTCATACTTTTCTGCTAAACAAGATAAAGAGCCTTCAGAGAAGGAGACGGGCAAAAGTCGAAATCACTGAGAAAAATGTGGCAAATATAAAGACCAAGTTCTGGCAGAGAAATATCAGACATGCATGGTCAGGGATGAAGATGATCCCTGGCTTAAAGCGGAGCTAGGGACTATCCGGCAGATGGAAATCTGGGCAGAGAAATTGAACAGAGCCTAGAAGGCCTGTGCAGAGCAGCTCTGTGGGATTCTACAAAACCCCTCTTCAATCGGAGTCTTACCCATCATACAGCTCTAGTGATGTGGAAGACCTTCTGCCTTGTTCCAGTATCAAAGAAAACTAAGCCAACAGTCATCAGTGACTGTAGACCTGTCGCCCTGACACCCCATATCTTAGAGATCCTCCTGTTGGTCGACATCAGTAAACAAACAAGTACATTTGAGTACCTCCTACAACTTGCTTGTTGCAGGGGAGTTGGAGTGGATAATACCATCATACACCTGCTTCAACAAATCAACTGTCATTTACACAAGGCAGACATTACTGTGAGGATTGTTTTCTTTGATTTCTCAATGCATTTAACATGACCAGGCCTGATTTGCTTTGTAAGTAACTCTAGAATGCCTGAACAGTCGTTCAAAGACTACCTGGCAAACAGAGAAAAAGTGGAGGTGGTTATGGAGTATAAGTGCCTAGTTGCATAGGCCGTGACTTTCTTCTAGGAACCCCTCTAGAACCTCTAAGAAGAATTATTTGTAACATGAAGAATATTTTCAGAAGAGGTGAAGACCAACTAAGTGTGTTTGGTTAAAGGCTTCTCCAAATTTGCTCCAACACAGACTATTACAGAATCTTTCTGCTTTATAGCGATTACCATTGAGGATAAGTTGTTGAGACACACCCAATGAGTTACAACATTTAATTTACTTTTGGGATTAAGAAAGTTTTTTTTTTTTTTATTAAATATAATTTATTAATGGTAGACATGTTTCCTAATGATTCTTTAGCACCAGATATTAAAAGCAAACAGTCAAATTTGGTCATGATTTTTCCTAGAAAATCCAAGACATATTTTATAAATACTTTGATTTACTCTACTTTATCTCAGAATGTGTAGAAACATTAACTGATTGTGGTTTTGATCAAATCACATACCTATTATATTATATACAAATATCATATTAGATGTAGTAATGGAAATGACTGTTGCGAACATGACAATGTTTAGCATTTCTTTTAAAATCTCACAAAATATTAACATGCTCTCTCTTTTAGACTTGGCACATGAAATATAATCAAAGTGCACATTATAAAATAGTAATATTCTCATTATCTGCACATTTAAAGGAAATATGAGGTGATTGGAAATAATAATCAATACGTTCCACTTTTTTAGAAAACTTTATCTTGATTTTTTTTTTTCTTTCCCTTTCTTCCATGGAGCTATCAGTGCTATCTTGCTACGGGTTCTCCTGTCACATTACTGCTGATGTGGTTGCAAGAAGCAAAAGTTTACAAAAAAGTTAAAAGTTGCATTTTGTTATGGATGGTGGGTGTTTTTATCATATTCCTGCCTTTGACAAATTCTTTAGCGGCTGGGAATCATGCGTTAATGTTCTTGTTGTTTTTTGTTTAATATTTAACAAGCTGTTTTTGTTGAATACATTTTACTGATGTCTGTTCAGATAAACCCTGGTTTTGGAGAACTATTCATTCTGTATCTTGGTACTGTACCAATCTTCATATTTCATGAAATGAAGCATCTACTTTTTACATCAGTTGTATTCACAAGCTGCTGAACCAGCTCACTAATCTCTTTGTTGTGATTGCTTGTCAGTAGTGTTGTTTCCTTTGGAGTTTGGGCCTTTTTCATCTCTTCTTCTTGTTTTGACAGCATGTCCTTCAGTTTTTTCCGATTCTCTCTATTTTTGGTCACACATTTTACCAAGTCAGCAATTTCCCTCCTGTGCTTGTTTTCATTCACTTCTTTCAGGGCCTCAAGCATATTATACTTTCCATGCTGCTCTAGCATCTGGGCTTCAAATTCTTTAGAATATTTCTCTTTGAAATCATTAAACTCTTCAGCCTCTCGTCGGGCTTCCTCCTTGTATCTTCCTTCTATTTTTTCTAAATCTTGCTTGTATACATCTCTCAGTATCTGCATGTTCATAAACATCTTTTCATCTATTATTTTCTTTTGTCTTTGTAAATCTTCCTTCATCTTTTCATAATCATTTTTAAGTTTTTCATCTTTCTTTTGCTTCTTTTTGTCATCTTTATCCCATTTCCGCCTCATAGCTTCCATTTTTTTCTCCAACATGTCATTTTGGTAAACTTTGCCAATCAAAGACTCTTTCTCACGTTTCCATTTGGCTGCTTCTTCTTTTCTCCATTCCTGCTCTTTATTTTTGTCTTCTTCAGCCTCTTTTAGTTTCTTCTCTATCTCCTTTATTTTCTCTTCTTTCTCCTTAATCTCATTTTCATTTTGTGCTTTCAAATTTCTCTCCATATCATTCTTTTCCTTCTCAAATCTTTCCTCTAATTTCTTCTTGTCTCTGTGCAGTTCTTCTTCTTTCTCTTTGTGAATTTGAATGATTTTTTTCTGTATGGCTGTTTCAGCCTCTTGCAGCATCTCATTGGTGAAGCATCCATTTTTAGCCACCATGATGTCAATCTTTCTCATCAGCTCTGTTACTTGTCTGCGGTTTTGGATGTCTTTGTTGTCAAACACATGGTATCTTCCTTCACAGTCATTAATAAGCTTTTTAAAGGTTTCATCACAGTCATTTTTCAAATACTCTTCAATTGACTGTTGACCTTTAAGTGAATCTCCTCTGGTCAGAAGGATGATGATGAATTTTCCGGAATTCATTCCAAAGCTTTTTTTAATAAGTTCTAATGTCATTTTCTCATCTGGTGTGTGTCTTGCTCCAATTTGTACCACCACCAAGAAGACATGGGGGCCTGGAGCCAGAAGGCTGATACATTGAAACAATTCTTTTTGTATTTCTTCCTGTGAAAAACTGTTGTCAAACAAACCAGGAGTGTCCACCACAGCAACAGGACGACCGTCAACCTCACCCTCGGATTTCTTACAACGCTTTGTGATCGAAATTTGGCTTACTTTGTGCTCAAACTCTTCTCTGCCTAAGATAGTGTTTCCTGAAGAGCTCTTCCCAGATCCAGTCTTCCCAATCAGAACAATCCTGAGACGCTCATATGTCCACTTGTCTCCTGTAACAGATGGCAGAGGGTCAGCTTACATCAAAATGATCTGAAACATTTTATTAGAACATTTAATCAGAACTGAAGAAAAGAGCAAAACAAATACAGCAGATAATCTATATTTTAGATTAATTATGATGTCTATTCAATTGTTAGGTCTCTTATTATTCTGATAAAGATGGAGCGGTGAAACAAGACCAGCTTCAACTCAAGATGCAATGCTGTTGAAATTTTGAGCAAATGATCAACATATTTACAGGAACTACATGACAACTTCAATATTTTTGGTGCTGTGCTTTTTCAATTGAAGGTGGATACATGAGTCAAGTGTTAAGGAGAAGTCCGGGGCAATCCCAAGGCGCTCCCAGGCCAGCTGAGAAACATAGTCCCTCCAGCGTGTCCTGGGTCTCCCCCTGGGCCTCCTTCCGGTTGGACATGCCTGGAACACCTCACCAGGGAGACGTCCAGGAGGCATCCTCATCAGATGCCCGAGCCACCTCAACTGGCTTCTCTCGACGTGGAGGAGCTGCAGCTCTACTCTGAGTCCTCCCCAGAGGACTGAGCTCCTTACCCTATCTTTAAGGGAGAGCCCAGACACACTATGGAGAAAACTCCCTTCACCACCCTGGTGAGGTGTTCCAGGCATGTCCCACCAGGAGGAGGCCCAGGGGACTACCCAGGACACGCTGGAGGGACTATGTTTCTCTGCTGGCCTGTAAGCGCTTTGGAATTCCCCCAGAGGAGCTGGCCAAAGTAGCTGGGGAGCGGGAAGTCTCGGCCTCCCTACTGAAACTGCTACATCCGCGACCCGACCCTGGATAAGCAGAAGAGGATGGATGGATGGATGGATGGATGGATGGATGGATGGATGGATGGATGGATGGATGGATGGATGGATGGATGGATGGATGGATGTATGGATGGATGGATGGATGGATGGATGGATGGATGGATGGATGGATGGATGGAACATCAGAGGCACACGGAGAATGAGGCTGTGCATGAATTAAATGTAGGGGGAACTATGATATTGCAACAGTTAGAAAAAACCCAAATATTGACATCTTACTTTTCATTTAAGTGGGGTTAGTGAAACCTTTGCGCATGTGTAACTCTTTATTTGTAAGACAAAGTAAGAGAACCCCTTTTCATTCTGTCTGCAGGCATTGGCTGCAAACCATTGAAATCTGTGCAATCAGTGGTTTCTTGTGTTGTCACCAACTTCTCCAATAACATAGAACAAGTCAGCAGATTTTTTTACCAGTAATCGGAAAAGTTGCTAGAGGGACTGAAAAGGCAGTAAATATTGTGATAAAGTTTTTTAAACTATCTATAGTGTGTTAAACTGCCTTTTTGCTACCTTTCTTTGAAGTATAATTAGATTTTGTGTGTGTTTGTGTGTGTCTGAAGTGTCGTTTGAATGTGCCTGAAGTGAAATTTGTCAATAATGGACCAATGAGAAAACATTTTGGGAAGGCAATGCTTGTGGGAGATGTAGTGTCGCAGAGTCACATTTAAATTTGCTTTTTCTTTCAAATGACATTTGAGAAAACTAGATTTAGCTAGTAAGTTGATTAATTATTGTTACAAATGCTTCACATTTCTGAGATTGTTATTCCCTAATGGAATTTCTGTAAGCCTTTAATGACAAATATATATATATATATATATATATATATATAAATATATATATATATATATATATATATATATATATATATATATATATATATATATATTTATTATCCACAAAATCTAAGAAAAAAACATGTTTAAGAATACGTACCACCGATCCGAGTCTCTGCTGACATAATGGAAAGTTGGTTCTGTGGTTCAGCAATTTCTATTTCTTTAATTTGGAGTTTATCCAAGTAGGCTTCTATGAGGGTTCCTGAGGTGTAGCATCTTTGCTCACTATTTATTACACGATCTATTACTTTAGAGAACTGCTTACTGTCACAGTTTTTTATGACAGTGTATCCTTTTCCACATTTCTTGGTAAGCTCCTTGATGTCTTTATGTTTTTTAAGATTTTTTACCACATCTGGATGTTCAGGATCCAAATCTGTAGTGAACAGAATCATTATGCTGTTATCAATCCGAGAGCTGAATGTGTCCTGGATGGTCTGTAACTCTCCCTTGTCTTCATCAGTGAGGGGACCCACAGGTAGGACCAGGATGAAGGCGTGGACACCCTCAGGATCACAGAGGGAGATACACCTGAATGATTCCTCCATCACTTCCTGCTGAGGTTTTCCATACAAGGCAGGCAGCTCCACCACAGAAACCCAACGTCCACGAACCTCTCCCTGGTTTCTAACACACACTGATGAGCTGGAGGCTGAAGGAAGATCTGTCTGACCTAGAATGGCCTTGGCTGCTGAGGTTTTTCCTGCTCCTCTTCTGCCAAATAGAACCAGGTTTATGGATGGAAGTGACTGGTCACATGTTGATGCTGCTCTGTCATCTTTGATGCTAAGGAAGGCACTGCTGTCTCTCTTTACAATATCTTCAATCTTCCCCATTAATGTCTGGTGATTATTTTCAGACAGGCTGTACTGTCTTCCTTCACATTCTCTCATTAATGAATTAAAGGCAATAGCTGTTTTATTCCCTTCTTCAGTTACGATAACAACTGAGTGTTTAAAGGCATCTTCACCAAACGAGCTAAGGGTGGCCTTCAGAAACCTTCTGTCCTTCTCTGTGAACTTTGAAGGATTCACTAAGAGCAGCAGAACATTTGGTCCAGGAGGACAAAGATTAACACAGCTTCTCAGGTCTTCTTTTTGGACTTGTCCCATCTGATTTTCTGGAGGTGTCACAATAGTTAAGACCTTTCCTTTCCATAGCCCGTGCTCAACTGGTTTATTTTGATGAGATGCGGATGAAATGTCTGAACCAGTTTTCTGTAAGATTAAGTTACAGAGGTGTTTCTTGGTTGACAGATTTGCTCCAAAAAGCATAATCCTGAGACTTTGACCTGTGAAATAATAGAATAAAGAAAAAGATAAGCAGAAATCTGAAATTTCTGACACAATGACAAGCTATACCTTGCTAGTCTTATGTGATTAAATTAATATACTCCCTTCCACTGTCATGATTGTCTTTCCTTTAATGAGACTCCTTCTGACTGAATTAGGATCAGTTAGTCATACTGTTACATATATTAGTAGGGCTCCATTTATGGATTCTTCAGCAAAAAACGTGTTTTTTATGTTATTGTAGTTTCATTTCTTTGGAAGGGATCACAATCTAAAGCAAAATGATTCATGTAGGAATTACATGGTGATGATTCTGAAAAGGAAGTAAAACCCTCATCGAAATTAATTCACGTGGACAGTTTTCTTGCTCTAGAACAGATTATTATGTAGTTGATTTTTGCTCTGATAAAGGTTTAACCAGAGTAGAAGATCATACACACAATGAAAGGTTGATTCAAGCATATAAAGTGAATCTGTGAATTCTAATCTGTGATTATTTTTATCCTGTTTTGCCCAAGAAGTTATTTATTAACCATAACTAGGCTTAAGAGTAGGTCTAGCAAGTATTACTACTTTCACAAATGAATTAATCAACCAGATCCCAGAAAAAAATCCCACCCATACAAGGAACTGCAACTTTGGGGGTTCTGGAGCTCTCGCAGCAGGTGTTTTTGCACAGATTTGCTGCTGCTCCAGGCTCACCTTACCTATTTTGTGGGAATGATTCATCGCCCTGTTTTGGGCACTCTGACCTAAACAAACATGGACCAAGTGCAGGAGAGAAATGCATGCCCACTCAGGGAAAAATTCATCAAAATGTCAACGACAGGGGCTTGAAATCTGTGGTCTTCATAAAGATTGGCTTGTTGCTGGTCATTATGAAGTGAAAGTGTAATTCTAGCTTAGATCATTTTAAGCTAGAAGTACAACTGTGTAGTAACAACTAATTCTGTCTGTATATAAATAATCCTACTGTAAAGTTTGTCCTGATGCCAAAGGCTGGTGTTTTTTATGGATGCAGTAATCATACATTGGAGGTAGATAAACCATATTTCCATTGTTTTTGTACAAAGAAATGACCGAAAAGATCGGCTTGGGTGCAAGCTTTTCAACGGATAGGCAAAAAATGTCTAAACCTGGAGTCTAAATTCAAGGTGTGTGTTGTAAGCATTGATATTGTATCTTAACTTGTTCTGCTTCATTCTATCACTCAAACATCCCTCATTCTCCCACTCTGCAGAATCTGTTAGTTCAATCTCTAACATTCTGCTCTCTCTGCTTTTTCTCATAGTAGCTTCATCTGGTCTTTTCCTGTTTGGCTGTGACTCCATCCTGGAGAGAAATATCAGCTGTGCTGCTGCCATCAACACCTTTGTTTAACTGGATGTGCTCTCTTCATCCTCTGACATGGGAGCTGGCTCGGAGCTCGTCTGCCTGGCTGTGTGTTTCGTCTCTGCTTTTTTTCTGTATCTCTGCTTCTGTCTCCTTGAACCCCTGTCGGCTTTAGCAGAATGCTGCTCATACTGAGCCTCTTTCTGCTGGAGGTTTCTTGCTGTTAAAAGGGACTTTTTCCTCTCCACTGTCGCTACAAGCAACGTAGCAACAAGCAACGAAGAGTCAATGAGTCGATGCAATCAACTGGTTTTCCTTAGATAGGAAACTTTTAATCAATCTGACTGTATGATCTTGTCGTATTGTCTCTGTAATCTTACTTGAGATGACGTGTTGTATTGCTCATAAATAAAAAAAATTAAACTGAAATGAATCCCAGACACTAACCAGTTGCAGCTTTCTCTCCCCACTCCCCAGCTGTCCTAATTTTACTTCCCACAATTAGCCCAGAGGCTACCCTCAGTCAGCCATAGGCTATCTACGCACTCTATCTCTGGCAGGCAGACTTATCACATATTACACCCTGCTTCCTGGATTCTCTGCAGTTAGCCTCTATAGCTAGCCTCCATCAGCTGTAACCTCTTTCAGCCATGGCCCTCTCACTATTGGATAAGAGCTAATTTCTTATCATATCTGCCATTATTTTTTGCTAGAAGATTTTATTGGTCTTCTTTACGATTATTTATTTATTGGCATCTTTACAATGCAAACAATATTTAAAATCTACTAAGAATAGTCTACCTCTGTGGTAGCAGATGTTTACCGCTCCTAAGATGGCAGCGATCATCACTAGGTTGACATATTGCTGTGTCATATCACCGCAATGTGTTTTGAAAATTTCAAGGGGCCCTGTAGACACAGTTTCAGGAAACTTTCCGAACCCTTATAATGGGTAATATTTCACCACACCCAACTGATGTGCAAAATAAGTTGAGTATTTTTTATATGTTCAAAAGGCTATGTTATTTGTCAGGAGCCAAAGACTGAAAAACGGATACAAAAATTAGAGTAAGCTCTTGCAATGTTTTTGCAGGGCCTAATTATTTAAAAGCTTGTGAGCTTTGTTTTTCTTACTTAAATTGTAGGAACTAAATCACCTCCATTTACAGTTTAGTATGGTCCACCACACCCTTGCGCGGAAGTTTTACAGTATATCAAACGGATTAAATAGTGGAAAAAATATTTGAACAAGATAATATACAGGGATTCTCAATGCAAATTGTAAAACTGACAGATCAAAAGTTGACATTGCACCAATGAACATGTGGGATAGCTAGTCTGGCATGGCATGTAAAATATTAGCTGACTAACAAAATTACAGTCAAATTGATTGTTTTTACATTAATCCCTTGCAATATTTTATCATATAAAGGTCTGGTTTAAAATGTTTACTTTGTTATAAGACTATACGTTTATCCTGCACATGTAATTTTGAGTGATTCATTATGCTGTCTGAACAGCAGTCCCTCCTGACATGTGAAAATGAGTGTTTGGAAAATACCTGTTTAGGAAGACTCGCTTCAAAAAGCCCCAACTACAACTTGCTTTTCCGGCACTGTAAACTAAACTTCTACTTTCTCCAATCGGGAAGGGATGATATCTGCCACTGCTCAACGATTCTGGCTCAAAGTTAATTCTAAGTGACTCTTTAGGCAGATTATCTGCACCAGTAGCAACTATTTTTTTTTATTTTTATTATAGCTCACGTCTAACTTGTGAACATAATTCTTTTTCTATGAGAGGACCATTCGGTCCCCAGTGGTGTCAAAAATACACACATTTGTTACTTAAAGGAATAGTACACCCAAAACATGATTAGCCTTCATTTTCTACTCACCCCCATGCTGAACAACACTCTGGAGTACTTTTTTGATATCTCAAATGCATCTGGAGATCTGGGAGGCTTCTTGCTGTCTGCTGACATTCAAATAATGGAGGTCTACGGTGCCCGAGACAGAAAGGTCCATAAAAGTCCACAAAAAACGTGTCAATATTCCACCATTCTGCTCGTCCAATGTATTCCAAGTGTCCTGAGTGGGTAGCATCCAGAATTTACTCGAATGAAGTCATTTAGAATGTTTTTAGAGCATAAACAGTAGTGTATAGGATTTCCTGAAAGCGCGCACATGCGCGTTCACGACGCTACGGAAGCCGGCAGACCAAACCAGATGAAAGTGCGCATTCAGCGTCTGCTGTTCCAATAATGCAAGCGTAGAAGAAGAAATGTGCTGTTTACCTGTGCAAAGAAAGAAACAACGAAAGAAAAATGTCTGAGGACTTCAGTGTTGAGGAAGAGCATGAGTTCTTTGCCGAGCTGAATGCGCTGGTTTGGTCTGCCGGCTTCCGTAGCGTCGTGATCGCGCATGTGCGCGCTTTCAGGAAGTCCTATACACTACTGTTTATGCTCTAAAAACATTCTAAATGACTTCGTTTCGAGTAAATTCTGGACGCTACCCACTCAGGACACTTGGAATACATTGGACGAGCAGTATGGAGGAATATTGACACGTTTTTTGTGGACTTTTATGGACCTTTCTGCCTCGGGCGCCATAGATCTCCATTATTTGAATGTCAGCAGACAGCAAGAAGCCTCCCAGATCTCCAGATGCATTTGAGATATCAAAAAAGTACTCCAGAGTGTTGTTCAGCATGGGGGTGAGTAGAAAATGAAGGCTAATCATGTTTTGGGTGTACTATTCCTTTAAGTATAAGTATTGATACTGCAGTTCAAAAACATAATAATAATAATAATTTAATAATAATTTGCTGCTGTAATATTATAGCGTAGTGTGTTAGGGCAGAAGAAGTTATTTTTCCCAGCATGCACTGGGCAGCATGTTCAGTATTAGAAGCTGCCAGTTAATGTAAATTTTTTCCAGGTTATTAAGTTACATGTTACATTTGTTACTGTTCTTATGTCTGTTGTATCATCAGAGTTTCTGTTACAATCTGAAGTACTTGTTGTCTCACCATGAGTCTGGAAGATAGGTCTGTTAATGTCCTCTCCTCAACAGTTGTATAAAAAAGGTTTTTGTTAAATAAAAGAGAAAGCCTTCTGGAATTATGTGGTGTACGGGGCACGGTAGCTACCACTAAACTGAAGTAATCTCTTTTTAGATTTTTTTAGAATAAAAAGCTAGCAGATGTGCATATTTAAAAAATAACAGAAATTTAATTATAGAGCATTCAGTATTGTAAGAAAGCCCACACTTTTTCTGAATAGATGCATTATGGTATGAGTTAAATTATGTTCCGTTTATTTCTCTTTCCATGCAAGTAGGAAATTTTCCCATGCTCCTGAATGCACCATAACTATCTGACGCTCGTGAATGCATCACACCGGTCTGTGAACGCTGTGCTGTGTAGATGCATGTTTGATTTTCCGCCTATGACAAGCTGACGTCACTGTTTATTGTTGTGTGTGAATTACAACAGACTAGAACAAATAAATCAGCCGTACCTCGGACAAAATCTTTGAATTTAATGTTGTTAATAACACCCGTACTGGGGATGCATATCTGGGAGGGCATGCAGTTTTCTGCATAACACCGGACAGCGGTCCGCTAATCTGTGACCTCTGCATTAAACCGAAGCAAGAGTAACGAGTAACGATTGTTTTAAAAATGTAAGGAATAGAAAGTACAGTTACTTGTGTGAAAATGTAATGAGTAGAAGTCAGAAGTAGGAAGAAAAAAGTAATGGAGTAAAGTATAGATACCTAAAAAGTGTACTTAAGTAAAGTAACAAAGTATTTGTACTTTGTTACTTGACACTTCTGTCGGTCCCTTCAATAGTGGTGTGTTAGAGAAATGTTGGGAAATATGTGGCATCCTGACCGGGAGAGACTTCTTTGCCTAATGGTCTTTTTTATTTTGGGGGGTAACAAGAAACCACCACATTCCATAACAAATACATCTTCAAGTAATTCTAAATGTATACTTTAATTATATATTTCACTATACGTGAATTTCAAAGGAATAAAAGAGCAAGATATAGGATTAATAATAATAACTTATGATATTAGCAGATGTACATAAGCCAGGCCTAATAGCCTTTTTTTGCTCATAAACCGTCAGGCTTTTAAAATAAAAAAATAAAAAAGTATCTCAGTATTTTATGTAGTTTGTGATTTTATCTATGAAATGATTTTTCATATTCTATGTGTATTTATAATTAGGTGTCACAGCTTTATTTTCATGGTATTAGATGGAGAAAGCAATAACACTGACCAGAAGTTTCTGCGCATCTTTCATTAAACTTCTTAGGTAGTAAAAACAAAGACAATATTAAATGTGACAGTATGCAATGCCTTTTATAAACACCTACCAACACAGGGTGTACCACCAGAGGCTGAAGAACCTTGTCTCTGTTGTTTTATGCTTGGATGTTGAAATTTTTGTTGCTCATCATTTCTCTTCTCTAGAATGTGGCTGATTTTCTCCAGCAAATCTTTGCGATAATTGTCCTTAAGGATGAGTGAATTGTCTCTGCTCCTATGGATGAGTTCTTGTAACTCTTGATTTAAACTTGGATTATTCTGTCTAGATGTTGATATTAGAACTAGTGAACAATTAAAAGACTGATCACCGAAGAGTTCAAGAATTTTGTAGAACCTCTTTTTCTTTTCCTCTGTGAAATTTTCTGGCTGAACAACAAGGAGAAACAGCAGAGGAACAGAAGCACAACGCCTCAAACAAGAGTCTATTTCTCTTTTCAGTAGCAGATCTGGTGTGTTAATGACAATCAGCTTCTTTCCCCAAATTAGTTTTTGATGTTTTATTGAAGAGATTGGCTCTTCCCTTAAGTTGAATTCAGTCTTTTCCAGGATTAGGTTTCCAACTGAACTCTTTTCTGACCAGCTGTCTCCCAGGAGAATAAGCCCCACTTCAGACACTGTGAAGAATAAAGATAAGGTGTTTGGTTGTGGAGAGTAAGGAATTTCATCTGTGGAAAACAACATTTCAATAGCAGGTATGATGAATGATAAGAGCAGAACCACTACTCTGACTTTGAAAATAAGAATTCTGTGCACAAATTTACATTTATGTTGGATCTAGCATTATCATAGATCCTTCCTCCCAGCACATGTAAGACTTTACACTGTCACTGTTTCCAACACCTTCAGTAAATTGTCACATTCATGCTGATTTTTGCACAGTTTCTTTGTTAAATAACATGCTGCTGTCATTTTTGCGCATATTTTGTTTTGCTGTTATTTTTCACATATCCATTACTGTAAAAATGTCCCCAGAAGGTTTATTGGTTTATTTACTTTCCAGATACAAAACATTTATGTTGTTAAAACACTGTACAGTACAGTACTTATTTGCTTATTTTCTTAACTATGTTACTTATTCTATTATTTTTATACACTTTCAAAGGTCCAAATTGTGTGACCACTTCTGTTATTATTTTTTGCTGCTGTAACACCTGCTAAAGGTATTTTTTATTCTATTCTATCTTTTGAAATTCACATGAGCTGAAATTATTAACTGTGGATAACAATGACAATGTATATTTAGGCCATGACAATATGGGAGGTTGTAGTGAATCCATAAATAGGTCTAGATTTTTTAGTTATTTTAAGATCTTGATATTGTTTAAATCTTAGCAATGCAATAATGTCAAACTTGTAAAAATCAAAATAGTATCAGAAAAGATATGAAAGTTTGAATGCTGGCACTTTTCAAAGAACTGTCAGGAGAACACTTAAAAGATAAAAAAAAACATGATTTTGGGGACTAGTAATCACTGTACGTGTCTGATGTATCAGGGAAACTTTATTACAACTTTAAATACGTGTTAATCTACAATAGACTTCAGTCACTACATCTATCAAGCTTCATGAATTAGAAAACTTAAATCCAACCTAAATTTATGACTAGATTGAATTGTATTGTCTACGAACAAGAATGCAAATAAAGCATTCTGGGTCAAAGCAATGGGTTTATTTTGAAATATTTTATAAATGAATAAGCTATAGTGTAAATGATGGAAAGGTCAGTGAGGAGGTTGAGTGTTATTGTGAAGAATGTTTATTTAATCAGTGCAGTGTGATCCATTAAAGCATCAAAAAGGAGCACTCGTTACTTATTTGATAGTATTTTGAAGATCCCAAAGGCAGCCACAGTCAGATATGATTGCTATACCGAGAAAAGGAAAGTAGAGGAGATTACAGTGTTTAACCTTTGTTGTCATTATTCACAGCAGTAGGTTTGTAATCTGAGCCTCTAGCATGACCAACCCTGTGTGCAGTGAACCTTTTAGCATAAGCTTTCATGTGCTTACTGGAAACATGCAACTTATCAACCAAAATGTAAGATGTAACAAAAGAAAGCAACGCAGTCCAGATATGCAGATGTGGGCCAGCTGAGTCTAAATACAAAAATAATTTTTGTAACCCCCAAAAATGTTTTACAGCTTTAAGTGTGTTGGGATATATAGCCACAATGGAGCTAAATCAATTGGATGAACCATCTAAATCCCCCTTTTCCTTTTTCACAAAGAGAACAAAAAATTCTCCGGCTTCCTCCCATAGTCCAAAAACATGACTGCTAGGTTAATTGGCTTCTCTAAAGTCCCCTTAAGTGTGAGTGTGTGTGTGAATGGTTGTTTGTCCTGTTTGTCTCTGTGTTGCCCTGTGATGGACTGGCGACCTGTCCATGTTGTACGCGGTCTCTTGCCTGTAGACAGCTGGAGATAGGCACCAGCACCCTTCCCCACCCCACTTGGGATAAGTGTGACATAAAATGGATGGAGTGTTTGTGACATGCAAATCTTTTTTTGTTTGTTTCTTTTTTATATAAATAAAGAACTATTGAAATTACTTTCAGAATACACACAAATAGATTAATAAATCTTGCAGGGAGAAAAAAAGGAACTACCTTAGGGTTAGGATTCATTTGGTGTTACCAACCCAATGAAGCCAACTGGCACAATCTGGAGCCATTGTATGGGACTGATAACTGCTAATAATGACCATTATTGGGATGATTATATCTGAAGCGGCTAGAAACAGCCACTTAGTGTTTACTGGATAAAAGAAGGTAGAATGAACCTGAGGACCCACGTGAGGTTAACTGGCTTTTCTAAACTCCCCTTAGGTGTGAGTGTGTGCGTGAATGGTTGTTTGTCCTGTTTGTGTCTGTGTTTTGTCCATTTAGTATAGTTTCAATAAGTATTAGTTTCACTGAATATGTATTTTAGATATCTGAAAAAAAACATTGCTTGTCAAAATTTCCATTTTAAACAAAATGACAGATCTCCATATCTCTGTTGTTACTTCATTTTTACTAGTATAGTTTTGTTGTTTTACTGCATAAAAAAGTTATTTAGAAAATATATTATTACAGTTCAGTCTAGGAACAAGTTTTTAATCAGGAATAATTCTATTTTAGAGATCTACAAATAGAACAACAGAGAGGAGAGTGTTTTTAATGAATGAGTATTTGCCATACAACACTTCTTCTAAACCCACGCATTATCTCGAGAAGCTATCTTCTGCTTCGCCAACTTCCTCTCCTTTGTAGCTGTAGCGCTGTTTCTCAGTCTTTAAAAAACTTTGTCCAATTTTGTTTTTGTATTTCTGGTTCCAGTGGGGGGTAATAGGTCTTTCTTGTAGTCTGTTGTCGTGGTGAATCGTTGAATTGGGACTCTACTGATAATGGCCTTTCAGACTTGTTGCACACATGCTAAACTCTGAATGGATCAACTTAGAGTTCATTAAACTAACACACAGCAGCTTTTGTGAAACCAAAAACTTAGAGTTTCCAACCTTAGATTAGATACATTTAGAGTTGAGGATTTCAATCTGAGTTTTTTAAACCTGCTTATTTGTATATCAGTAACCTAAATATAAGTTAGATTAAAGTGTCTAAATGTATACATTCTGATTTTGATATGATCATAAATGTATTAGAAAAAATGTAAAATAAATTCCAATTTGTGCACACAATTCTCGTTTTTAAAAAATTATTTAAAAGATAATCAGCATTGTATGTCTATCCTCCTGAAGAGACACTTAATGAGTCATGAAAAACTGTAAATGTAATTAGAATTTAACATTTACATCTTGATGAAGATAAAAAGATCAAAGTACTTGATAGTAGATGTGTATTTCTTTCTTCCTGTGAATACTGATAAATCTAAAGTCATTTAGATAAACTTACTGTTAGGTGGCAGAAAATCATAGCTGTTTCTCCGTCTTATCAAGCCTATGAAAACAACACAAAATTGTTGGGGTTTTTTTTTTTTGTTGTTTTTTTTTTTTTTTATCAAAATTCTTATTTCAAATAAGATCACAAACTCATGGTTATAAATTCCTCCCGGGCTTTGTTTTCCACACCAGCCCTCCATTTATACTGTACATTTATGATTCATCAGTGATGAAAACATGATAATAGAAAGTTTGTGTGGCACAATTTGTATGTTGTAAAAAAGTTATTAACAAGTTCTTAACATGAATTATACAATAAAATAGACAGCACATAAAAGCAGAAAAAAGCAACTAAAGGTCACATGGTGAAAGGATGTAGTAAAAATAATACAATTATTGGACCACAAACTTAACTAATGAGAAGAGTGTTAACATTTTAACTGTACATTGTGTAGTAACTACAGGGACTTACTGACAGAAATGTAATATATCACAGACAAGTTATGCCTACATAAAACCCAAGTCTAATAAAAATACTATTCATGAAATCATATATGTAAACGACCCTCATCATTACTTATATATATATATATATATATATATATATATATATATATATATATATATATATATATATATATATATATATATATATATATATATATATATATATATATATATATATATATATATATATATATATATATATATATATATATATATATATATATCTTCCAGCATCTTTTCATTTGTTCTGCGTCTCACAAACGTTCTTCTTTGTGATCCAAACACCTCAAACTTGGATTCATCCGTCCACAACACTTTTTTCCTTTCTTACTCTTTCCAATGTCTGTGTTATTTTGCCCATCTTAATCTTTTTCTTTTATTGGCCAGTCTCAGATACTGTATGGCCTTTTCTTTTCCATATCTGCCCAGAACCCCGCAGCCGCCTCTTCACTGTAGATGCTGACACTGGTGTTTTGCGGGTACTATTTACTGAAGATGCCAGTTGGGGACCTGTGAGGCATCTGTTTCTCATACTAGAGACTCTAATCTACTAATCTTCTTGCTCAGTTGTGCAACGCGGCCTCCCACTTATTTTTCCTACTCTGTTTAGAGCCTGTTTGTGCTGTCCTCTGAAGGGAGTAGTACACACCGTTGTAAGAAATCTTCAATTTCTTAGCAATTTAGCCTTAATAGCCTTATTAAGGCTTTTAGCCTTAATTTCTAAGAACAAGAATAGACCGTCTTTCTGGCCATTTTGAGCGTTTAATTGACCCCACAAATGTGATGCTCAGAAACTCAATCTGCTCAAAGGAAGGTCAGTTTTGTAGCTTCTGTAACGAGCTATACTGTTTTCAGATGTGTGAACATTGTCACACGCTTGTCAGGAGGAGATGAAGATCAAGATCTGGCCAACCAAAGAACCACAACCCAAACAAATCCACTTCACCCAGAACAACAAAAATAAACCAATGTAGAAAACCAGATGCTGTCCTTATCTGCTACTTTGGCCAATATATAGGTAACAATGTGTCATTGTTACAACATGATTGCACAAGGGTTTTCTAATCATCAATTAGCCTTCTGAGCCAATGAGCAAACACTTTGTTCCATTAGAACACTGGAGTGATAGTTGCTGGAAATGGGCCTCTATACACCTATGTAGATATTGCACCAAAAACCAGACATTTTAAGTTAGAATAGTCATTTACCACATTAGCAATGTATAGAGTGTATTTCTTTAAAGTTAAGACTAGTTTAAAGTTATCTTCATTAAAAAGGACATTTCAATGTGACCCCAAACCTTTGAACGGTAGTGTATATACATATATATATATATATATATATATATATATATATATATATATATATATATATATATATATATATATATATATATATATATATATATATATATATATATATATATATATATATATATATATATATATATATATATATATATATATATATATAAAAAAACTGTTTTCTCACCCCTCGTGGGGTGGTATGTGTCATCCTCAAGCTCGGGTCCTCTACCAGAGGCCTGGGAGTTTGAGGGTTCTGCGCAGTATCTTAGCTGTTCCTGGGACTGCGCTCTTCTGTACAGAGACCTCTGATGTTTTACCTGGAATCTGCTGTAGCCACTCTCCCAGTTTGGGGGTCACAGCCCCCAGTGCTCCAATTACCACTGGCACCACTGCTGCTCTTACTTTCCACATCTTTTCTAGCTCCTCCTTCAGTCCTTGGTATTTCTCAAGCTTCTCGTGTTCTTTCTTCTTGATGTTGCTGTCGCTTGGGATTGCCACATCTATCACTACTGCCTTCTTCTGCTGTTTGTCGATCAACATGATGTCTGGTTGGTTAGCCATCACCTGTTTGTCAGTCTGGATCTTGAAGTCCCATAGGATCTTAGCTCGGTCATTCTCAACTACCTTAGGAGGTGTCTTCCATTTTGACCTTGGGACTTCCAGCCCATACTCATGGCAGATGTTCCTGTACACTATGACAGCTACCTGGTTGTGGCGTTCCATGTATGCACTTCCTGCCTGCATCTTACACCCCGCTGTTATGTGCTGTATTGTTTCAGAGGCATCTTTGCACAGTCTGCATCGGGGGTCCTTGGTACTGATGAAATGCTACTATATATATATATATATATATATATATATATATATATATATATATATATATATATATATATATATTTAGAATATATTTATTATAAGACATAAATATATATATTTTATCTTATATATAACTATAAAATGCTTAATACACTGATAGCCAGTGATTATTAGACATTTGCAGAGGTAGATAAGGTCGGCGGTTGAGACTGATTTTGAGTATCAGCCAATCACAGATAAAGAAATATTTTATCTTTAATATCTGGGGTTTGAATCAGAATCAGACATACTTTAATAATCGCAGAGGGAAATTACTTAATTACTTTTGCAGAGCCACAATCAGCTCTTTGGTTTTGCAGCTCACTTAATATACAAAGATATAACTTAATGCTATGTTTTTTGATTAATGCTTTGTGTCCTCATGAAAATAAACTGGCTCCACTCTGGGCACCCCAGGTAAATTTGGTTTAGAACTGTCACTACTGATTACAGAAAGCCAACAAACAAACTCTACATCAAAATAAATGCACTAGAATTTAGTGGTTTATAAGAGTTTATTTAAGGTAATAATTAAATATTACCACGATTTAGGTTAGGAGTTGTTTTAGGTGAAGGCATTAACTGTGCCCTGTGAAGCACACATGTGCTAAAAATACCACTGGTTAGGACAAATACAAAGTATTACTGTGTTATTCAACTAACAGACAAGAACAGCTTTGAAATTATATAAGAATTGAGCTCTGTAGCTTTCTTTTTTTGTGGTTTCTCTTACTGTTCTTTAATATAATGGATATTTATTAGGGTGGTTTGATATGTTGTAAATGTTTGTTGAAATGGGAATGAGTTTAATTTTTAAATGTATTTAATATTTGTGATGCAAAGAATGTAAGAGTATAAACCCAGGTAAGTATTTGTTATTTCGGCCTTCTCCCTTTTTTTGGAGAAACTGAAAAAATAATTATGCAACCGTGTATTTGAAAAAGAAATCTTTAATTAGATAGGCAGGAACATATATAGGTGTACTGTATTTGTGTCTATGAATATTTACTTGTACATGTTGTTTGTAATTTATTTTGTCCAAAAAAGAATCAATGAAAAAATGAGGCAATGATCTTAACAATTTGTTCAATGATTAAATAAAGTGTTTGTATATTAACAGAAGCGTGAGGCTAAATTGAGGCCAATCTTTAACTTCTTTAATAAAGAGGATCCCTGTAAAAAAACACGTTCATATAAACGCCTCTTGGTGCCTTGAAAACATTAACCAATGAAAAAAAACCTTGACATGCCACACCTAATTTGATGCTTCTGTTTCCGTGCTGACGCTAACTTTCTCGTCAATCATAATCTTGATCGTTTATAGTCATTTTTTAAACAAAGCTGTAAAGTAATTTAAAATGTCTAACTCAATCTGCCCTAAGGTTAATATTTCATTTTAAGTCACACCCTGTTCCCCATTTTTCTATTAAAATACTTTTTTGTCGTTATGTTGTTAATTTTGGTGCAGTTTCATATCAGACTCCTGCAGAATATAAAGTCATATTCAGTAAATGACAATATGTTCTAACGAGGCTTGTCTGTCAGAGTAAAAGTATTTTTAGTGAAATAAAAACCTTTACAAAGGTATCAACTATATTTCATTAAAACTAAATTTCCCTATTAAATATATGTTTCACTTACCTAATGTAATTTTCTAACATTAATTTCACTTTCTTTTGCTACAAACATAGAATTTAAAAAATAACAGAAAGTAAGGCTTAAGAATATTAATAATAATAATAATAATACATTTTATTTAAAAAGGCGCCTTTCTGGACACTCAAGGTCACCGTACAAAACATAAAAAGTGTCAGAAAAAATAAAAATTATAATTATAAAAACATTTAAAAACATTTAAAAATACAGAGGCTGTGACAGTGAAATTTATATTTTTAAAGAGAATAAGCAATCTTGAACAGATGGGTTTTGAGTTGTATTTTAAAATGGAGAATTGAGTCCGTATTTCGAAGTTGGGGTGGTAGAGAGTTCCAGAGGCGGGGGGCAGAGCGGCTGAATGCTCTGCTCCCCATGGTGGTGAGACGGGCGGAGGGGACAGACAGGTGCAAAGCAGATGAGGATCTAAGAGCACGGGAGGGGGTGGGAACATGCAGGAGGTCTGACAGATATGGGGGGGCAAGATGGTGAAGTGCCTTGAAAGTCATCATGATAATTTTATATTGAATGCGGAACTGTATGGGGAGCCAGTGGAGCTGTCGGAGGACCGGAGTGATGTGGTGGATAGAGGGAGTTCTTGTTATGATGCGAGCAGCTGAGTTCTGGACCAGTTGTAGTTTGTGGAGTGATTTCTGAGGAAGTCCAAAGAGGAGGGAGTTGCAGTAATCTAGTCGGGAGGTGACAAGGCTGTGCACAAGTATGGCAGTAGTGTGTG